CCACTCCTGAGTGGTGCTATTTGCTTCGAGGTGTATGCCCTTCGCCATTAGTTGACTGACGCTCAGTAGGTTGTAACCGAGCCCTTCTGCTATTAAAACCTTTGACATCTGCAGTATGACGTTTGTCTCTCGTGACTGAAGTTGCACTACGCCTTGTCGTCGTGTGCGCAGGTTCTGATTGTTGGCGACGGTGATGACGACCTCGCGTTGAAGTTCGTGTTCGTGTTCCTGAAGAGCACATGTGTTGTCCGCAGCAACTGTCCAAGAACCAGGTATCCTTCCCAGACGGTTCGCTTTGGGCGATGGCTGCATACGTTGGGTTCGGTTGCAGCGATTCTCGACGTGGAGTCCTTTCGTCGAGTTGTTCTTCTGGTGAGTAGTGCGGCGGCGATTCAGTGATGCAGGAGTCGGTCAATCTTGCCATGCAGCTGACGATGTCCCTTGTTCCTTGTGCAGGTTGTCTCGTCGACGTTGTTGACGTTTGTACTTGAGTGGTGGAATTTGCTTGCGTTGAGGCTACTTGACTGCTTGAAGGTCCAAGCTGCCGCTGCGTTGGTACTGACTGTTGTCGGTTAGGGCAGTGTGTGCGGGGATGACCTGACGTCTTGCAGAGATGACAAAACGGAGGTACAGGTTGTTGACTTTGGTACTTGTTTTGCCGATGGTTGTTGTTGTTGTAGTGCCGTTGAGTGTGGAAAGCGAACTCAGACACTGACGTCTTCCTCTTGTGTTTTTCTTCTTGTAGGTCCATGTCTTGCTGTTCGGCGTGAATTTCAGCGCACAATGCTGCTTCGGAGATCTTCCCGTGAGCTCGGAGTATGGCGCGAGTGGAGCGCCAATGAGGACCAAGACCGCCAATGACGACTGTGATGAAGGCGTCTTCTGATATCGACCCTCCGCATCGAAGGAGTTTGTCGCGCAATTCGCGACAGCGGCTGATATATGCCATCCCTTTTTCGCCCGGTTTCATTTCCACTGTTGTCAGTTGTGCCATTAACCGACTCTAATTGACGCTGTCTGTTGCCTGATACAGGTTCTTCAAGTGGTTGTACGCGAGCTCGGCGGAGTTTCCGTATCCTCGGTAAGACCGAATGTTCTGCTGCTGGTTCGGTGTGATGTTGCGCAGTAGGATTGTATACGCCATCATAGATTGATACGTATACTGCTGTTTGTCGTATTGCGTGCCGTTTGTTGGATATGGCAAGGACCCATCGAAGAAGCCAAGAATCTGCGCGCCTTCCATCATGAGTTTGAATTCGAATGACCAGGTAAAGAAGTCCTTTCCGTCAAATGGTCTTGACGTCTGCAGTTTTAAAATGTGCGCAAACTGCGACTGAACTTGAAGTGCATCTAGTGTCTTCTCTTGCTCAGATGAAGGCTGCTGGCGCGGCATGAAGCTGACGGAGCCGCGCTGAGGTTCGTACAGGGTGAAGGTAGGTTGTTGCTGATTTCCTCGTGCGTAGGATGAACCGTCGAGGCTCATCGGTGCTGCGTTGTTGTTGTTGTTGTTGTTGTTTGACTGTGCAGGTGCCCCTTGCTGGTGTTGTTCGTAGAAGGACATGAAGGAGAAGAATTTCTCCATCATGTCTGGGTCGAAGGCCGCGGTTTGGTTTGCGGGAGTTTCTGTAGACGTTGCCCTTGGTCTTGTTGCCGTACCCTCCTCTGTCTGTAGGCCAAAGGCAGGAGGTGGAGTAGGAGTAGTACCGGGAGAGCCGTTAGAGGAGCTTCTCTCCTTCTGCGTTGCCATGCCTTGTGATGTTGTGGGTGTCTTGATTGTAGTTGAATTTGTCCTGATAGCTCTCATACCATGTTGGGCTGAGAAAAGCCCTTAGGATCTTTGCAGGACTAAATTCTGAGTAGGACAATGTAATAGCGGAAGCGTTTAATGAGAACTTTGTGAACCACCTTGCGCTAGTATGTGAGGGCAAAAGTATTTGATTAAAAACAAAGGGATACAAGCTTTTATAAGAGTATAGGGAATACGAAGAGATACAGATAATAACTGTTTTGCTGTTGCTGTTGCGGTTCGATACAGTGACGACTCGGGCAACTGTTCAATAGCGAGTCAGTTGTTTGTCCTTGCTGTCGCGCTGTATTTGTCAGGTCAAAGGTCGCTGACCTTTGACTTTCGCATAACCTCCAGCGGTTGTTCAACCTCCGAGGGTTGACTCGCTAATGCTTCGATATGTTTCGCTTCGCTTCTGACTTGGTGTTTCGACACGACAGAGGCGCTAAATCAATTGTTTCCAACAACCACAAGGTCCTGCTGTGTACCCGGCGGCTAAGCTATCGACAATGGATTTCGGGAGTAATAGGCTGTCCAGGCCGATCCCTGCTGCCCTCGCAAAGCTACCAACCCTGATATGGCGCTTAATTTGTACTCGAATCGGCTAACCGGGGTTTTTTCTCCTGCTCTGCTGCAGAGAGTGTTTGCACTTTATTTAAGTCAGAACCGGCTTTTCGGCGACCTGAGCGGGCAGAAAATTGTCATAATGTTATAGAGCTTACATTTGTGTAGGCTATAGTGGGGTAGCCTATAAGGGGTACAACCCAATTAGGGTTAGTACTTGTACCCAACTTCTGCTCAATGTTGAGATAAGCTCTTAACTTAGTAGGCTTGTTAGCCTATGGTTTGAGCTTAGGAAAGTAGAGAGAGGAAAGGTCGAGAGTGTTGACCAAAAGGGGAACGAGGAATGTGTTCATTATGAGAAGAGTTACAAGTTATAGCAAGCCAAAGGGTGCACCACCTAACAAGAAATCATGATGCCTACACTACAACTACAGGCAGTTATAAAAAATGTAAACATTTTTCGACACTCAATGCATTCATTCTCATTCATTCTTTTGACAATAATAATGTCTTTTGATTTTAGCGCAAGCGAGAACAGGCTGACCGGAAACTTCAACACGATCGAGTTCGGCGAATCCGTAACGAGCATCGACGTGTCGGACAATTTGTTTTCGGGCTCGTTCCCGCAGATCGTGTGCCATCGGAGCAACTTAGCAACTATTTTTTCGCATAATCGACTGACAGGAGCCGTTCCAGCAAATTGTTTCAAGTCCGGAAGTTCCTTTCCGAAAGGCATCTTTTTAAGCCACAACAACTTATCGGGCAGCTTGCAGCCATTTTCGAACCTACCCACGCACATCACTGCTCTGAACCTCGGATTCAACAAGTTCACAGGGAGCATTCCCCCACGCCTCGCCAGTTTACCCCAGCTTCAATACTTGGACCTCAGGGCAAACGCTCTGACAAGTGAGATTGACTGGAAAACTGGAGATTCTACCAAATTAGTTGTTTAAACAATCTACTGCTAGTTTAGACGCTTAGAACCCACAGTCCCACCCACTCCTCTCTTGTGCGTGTCTTCCCGTGATATTAACCTCTCAGAACCAATGATAGGTTTTTTTCTGTGAGCTTTCCGTTCACTGATCTTACCCACTCTTCTCCTTCTGCTTCCCCTACCCCATCCCCAGTTCTCCATCATTAGACGTCCTCCTGCCTCCCCTCTCCTCATCCCTCATCATCAAGCGTCATTCCTCATCATCAGGCGTCATCCCCCTCTGCTGCAAGGCCGGGCAGCCCCCCTCACCTTCCTCGACCCTAATTCCGTTTCTCACTCCCTCAATCTCTCCCCTCCGCTCCTCACCCCCTCAGGCCCCATCCCAGCCTTCTGCAAGGCCGGGCAGCAACTCACCTTCCTCAGGCTCGCCTACAACGCCCTCTCCGGCCCGCCCACCCCGCTCTCCTCCCTCTCCTGTGCCGCCTCCCTCTCCTTCCTTTACCTCTCCTCCAACCGCCTCTCTGGCCCCATCCCCGCTACAATCAGCTCCTTTAAGCAACTTAAGCGCCTGCACCTCGACAATAACACTCTCACAGGAGCGATCCCAGCCGGTGTGAGAAACATGAAACGGCTGCAGAAACTTTGGCTGTCGAATAACAAGCTATCAGGTTCCGTTCCCGCGGTTTGGCCGGCAAGGATACGGCAAGTGCTGCTGGCGGGGAATCAGCTGTCAGGGGCTGTTCCGGCTGCTCTGAGCAAGCTGAAAAAGCGCTCGTTCAAACCAGGGAACGACAATTTGTGCGGGACCCTGCTGCCTGCCTGTGCTTAGAACCATCCCTGCTCGTGCATACAATCGTCCCTACTAACATATAATTATAAATCACCCTTGTTTGAAAGGTCGTGCTCTTGAGCAAGGTGCAGAGGGGAACCGTCAAGGTAGAGAACCCCCTTTCCCTCCTCCCACCGCCTCGCCTACCCGCCTTTTTTGCCCAGTTGCATTTTCTACTGTATCAACTTATCAAGCAAGACCTGTGCATGCTAGATGCACAGGAAAAACACGGCAAATGTACACTGGACATTGGACAATGTGCCCTAGTAGGCGAAGCACGCCTGCACTTGACTCAGGTTGACTTTCTTGACCACATCCAGGCCCTCAGATTGGTTTGAGGGTATGCTGATGGATCAGCGTGCCCCGGTCGCCCAGGTGTCCAAATCAGCGTTCATGGTTTTCTTTATACTGATTTTGCCAGTGTAAAAGTTATAAGTAAACTGAACCATCAGTGTACAAAAGAAATACAAAGTTGAATTTCCCGATCAAAATTTGTCGCTGTGAGAGCTCCTTCCAGCGATGCAGAACACGCCGGCACGCGATCTGTACAGCGCATGCATCGTTAAGTGTGTGAGTGAGGTCTCGCGAATCCCGGGCCAGGTACAGCCTAGTGGGGTCTCGTGAATCCCGGGCCAGGTACAGACTGTACACACGCGTACCACCCCGAATCGGTCTAGTCCGTTTCAGTGTGACTCACGACACTACACTGATTCGTCAGTGTTTCTTGTACAGCAACACGGAAAATGGTCAGTGTGGCAAGGTATGTTATACTGAAATTTCAGTGCAAATTTGAAGCATATGCTGAATCTTCAGGGAAAACGAAAATCTAAGCTACAAAATCAGCGTAATCAGCGTGTTTTACGCTGATATCTGAGGGCCTGACCACATCATTCGGCCACAGTCTCGATGCTGTACGAGTGATCAATTGTGAGCGGCGTTTCAACGGAGACAGGCCTCTCCTCTGAAACCAGCTCCAGGTTGCAGAACCCACTACCCCAGTAGATGAAGCATGCCTGCACTTGACTCGGGTTGAATCGGTTGACCACAGTGCGGCCTGTACCTGGGTCCACCAGAGACCATTTTCCTGTAGGTGTGGAGGAAGGAGTAGAAAGGAGAGTCTGTGAGTCAGGCTGCATTGTTTGACCGGCGTTGAATCAGTTGACCACAGTGCGGCCTGTACCCGGGTCCACCAAGGACCATTCTCCTGTAGGTATGAGGGGAAGAGAAGAAAGAAAAGTCTGTCACTCGGGCTGAAACGGTTTGACTCAGGGACCACCATAGACCATTTCTCTTTAGGTAAAAAGAGTGGGCAGTAAAACAAAAAAACAATGACGCGGGTTGACTTGGTTGACTCAGGTTCAGCACAGTGAGACTGTTCCTAGATCCACCATAAAGTACCAAGGTAAAGCACTCACCATTGGGCCTGTCGTCACCTCTCAGCCAGAGCTCCTGCACGTCTGGCTTGATGAGCACCTCTGTGCCTTTGATGGACGTGAAGCACACGTGGGGAGCTGCAGAGAAGTGGAGGAGACGAGGAAGAAGCACTGATCAGACCACACCAGTGCAGGTGGCAAGGCAAGCACTCACCGTTGGGTCTCGCGTCGCCCCTGAGCCAGAGCTCCTGCACGTCCGGCTTCACCACCACGTGCTCCCTTGATGGATGTGAAGTGCACGTGGGGAGTGGCAGAGAAGAAGGAAAAGCGCTGTTCACAACACACCAGTGCAGGTGGCAAGGCAAGCACTCACCGTCGGGCCTGTCGTCGCCTCTCAGCCAGAGCTCCTGCACGTCTGGTTTGATGAGCACCTGCTCTCCCTTGATCAACGTGAGGCGCACGTGGGGAGCGGCGGAAAAGGAGAAGCGCTGTCTCAACACACTAGTGCAGGTGGCAGGCAAGGTAAGGCAAGACCAGTTACTCACCATTTGGTCTGTCGTCGCCTCTCAGCCACAGCTCATGCAAATCCGGCTTGACCACAACGTGCTCTCCCTTGATGGACGCGACGCGAGCTGAGGAGAGGGAGAGGAAGAAACGGTCTCAAGAAGGAAGAAGCAGCCAAAAGCACTCACCGTCGGGCCTGTCGTCGCCTCTCAGCCAGAGCTCCTGCACGTCCGGCTTAACCACCTCCTCGGTTCCTTTGATGGACGTGAAGCGCACATGGGGAGCAGCGGAGGAGAAGGAGTGGACCACTCGGAAGGAGGGGTGGACCCTCAGACAGGCGAGGCTGAGATACGGGAGTTCGGTGGGGGGATGGTGGGCGGGAAGGAGGTGCGGTTTGGACGAAGAAATGAGAAGCAGAGGTGCAGCACATGTAAGGAGCAGCAGAGGGGAAGGAGTGTATGACGCGAAAGGAAGGAGGCATATGCAGACAAATACGAGAGGGATATGGATTGGTGGGGTGAGCGAATCAGTGGGTGCATGAGCTGTGATCGCAGCAGTTACCGTGAAAACCCGCCAGAGCCAGCGCCAATAGCAGCAGCTATGATCGCTGACGTCACGTGGAGCTGATTGGGCGTGGATGGGAGTGCTGACGTGGCTGCATCAACTGGATCAACTGCATCGGCTGGAGCTGCTCCGACTGTTTCGTTGGTGGATGCTGGTCCATCCATGGATGTGGGCCCATCACTCAGAGAGACTTGCTGCTCCTGAACCAGGGTCAGGGACTTGGCATCGGCAGCAGTAGTGGTGGCAGCAGCCCAGGCAGCGGGGATGGGTTGGCCGAGGGAGAAGCAGCGGCGCATGATGAGTCCACTGCCGATGTCACCCTGAACGATCATACGATGACTGCCCCCTGTGCTGTGGTCCCTCTGCTCACTGCAGGAAGGGAACCAGGAGATCACGAGAATTAGACAGTGCCAAAGGGGAGAAGGGAGAAGCAGCGGCACATGATGAGCGCGCTGCAGATATCGCCCTGAACGATCATGCGGTGGCTGCCGCCCGTGCTGTGATCCCTCTGCTCACAGCAGGAAATGAAGGGTACGGGGCATGTTGAACAGGAGCAACAGACAAGGGGTATGTTGCATGCAGTGCAGAAGGGGCGACATGCACTAGCCGCATGAAGGGAGAAGGGAGAAGCATCGGCGCATGATGAGCCCACTGGCGACCTTTTCTTAGTCGACTCAAACTGAGCCCATTGCCGACCTTTTCTTAGTCGACTCAAACTGAGCCCATTGCCGACCTTTTCTTAGTCGACTCAAACTGAGCCCATTGCCGACCTTTTCTTAGTCGACTCAAACTGAGCCCATTGCCGACCTTTTCTTAGTCGACTCAAACTGAGCCCATTGCCGACCTTTTCTTAGTCGACTCAAACTGAGCCCATTGCCGACCTTTTCTTAGTCGACTCAAACTCAGCCCATTGCCGACCTTTTCTTAGTCGACTCAAACTGAGCCCATTGCCGACCTTTTCTTAGTCGACTCAAACTCAGCCCATTGCCAACCTTTTCTTAGTCGACTCAAACTGAGCCCATTGCCGACCTTTTCTTAGTCGACTCAAACTGAGCCCATTGCCGACCTTTTCTCAGTCGACTCAAACTGAGCCCATTGCCGACCTTTTCTTAGTCGACTCAAACTGAGCCCATTGCCGACCTTTTCTTAGTCGACTCAAACTGAGCCCATTGCCGACCTTTTCTTAGTCGACTCAAACTGAGCCCATTGCCGACCTCCACTATCATGTGATGACTGCCCTTTAGGAGTTTGTTTCGTTGTCCTAAAACAACACGAGTTGATGAAAGTAAGGCCTCCACTATCGTGTGATGACTGCCCTTTAGGAGTTTGTTTCGTTGTCCTAAAACAACACGAGTTGATGAAAGTAAGGCCTCCACTATCATGTGATGACTGCCCTGCCCTCCGTGCATGCTGCTAATGCACTATGCACGCCGCCCCCTGGATGGTTTGACGCGCACTTGTAGCATTGGTTTGATGCGCAGTTGTAGCATTGGTTTGATGCGCAGTTGTAGCATTGGTTTGACACGCACTTGTAGCATTGGTTTGACGCGCACTTGTAGCATTGGTTTGATGCACAGTTGTAGCATTGGTTTGATGCGCAGTTGTAGCATTGGTTTGATGCGCAGTTGTAGCATTGGTTTGACGCGCACTTGTAGCATTGGTTTGATGCGCACTTGTAGCATTGGTTTGATGCGCAGTTGTAGCATTGGTTTGACGCGCACTTGTAGCATTGGTTTGATGCGCACTTGTAGCATTGGTTTGATGCGCAGTTGTAGCATTGGTTTGACATGCACTTGTAGCATTGGTTTGACACGCACTTGTAGCATTGGTTTGATGCGCAGTTGTAGCACTGGTTTGACACGCACTTGTAGCATTGGTTTGACACGCACTTGTAGCATTGGTTTGATGCGCAGTTGTAGCATTGGTTTGACGCGCAGTTGTAGCATTGGTTTGACGCGCACTTGTAGCATTGGTTTGATGCGCAGTTGTAGCATTGGTTTGACGCGCACTTGTAGCATTGGTTTGATGCGCACTTGTAGCATTGGTTTGATGCGCAGTTGTAGCATTGGTTTGACACGCACTTGTAGCATTGGTTTGATGCGCAGTTGTAGCATTGGTTTGACGCGCAGTTGTAGCATTGGTTTGACGAGCACTTGTAGCATTGGTTTGACACGCACTTGTAGCATTGGTTTGACGCGCACTTGTAGCATTGGTTTGACACGCACTTGTAGCATTGGTTTGACGCGCACTTGTAGCATTGGTTTGACGCGCACTTGTAGCATTGGTTTGACACGCACTTGTAGCATTGGTTTGACGCGCAGTTGTAGCATTGGTTTGACGCGCACTTGTAGCATTGGTTTGACACGCACTTGTAGCATTGGTTTGACGCGCAGTTGTAGCATTGGTTTGACGCGCACTTGTAGCATTGGTTTGACACGCACTTGTAGCATTGGTTTGAGTGCTCTTTTCTTGACTTAACTGCACGCGTTGCTTCACTCACTTTCACTGACTCCTTCATTGGGTTCCCCCCCCATTACTATGAAACTCGTTACACTCACCTCCCACTCACCATTACCAATCACAGCTCCACACTCACCACACCACATGGTACTGTTCCTGACAGCCTGGTGACCGGTACTCGCTCTCGGAATACTCCTCATACCCACCCTCCTCGAAACGAGACTCCAGAAGCTCCTGGCCTGTGAGAGAGAGGGGGAAGGCGGGGAGAGGAGGGTAAAGGGGAGCAGGAGGGCGTGGAGAGTTGAGGATGGGTGGAGATGAGCTGATATGACTTTGCTCTAACGCTCTCCGAATACTCCTCATACCCACCCTCCTCAAAGCGCGACTCCAACAGCTCCTGGCCTGCAAAGAGGAAGAGGAGGTGGGCTTAGGTATGGGCACAGATGCAGCGACCCCTAAACCCAGCAACCCGTATCGCTCTCCGAATACTTCTCATATCCGCCCTCCTCGAAACACAACTCCAGAAGCGACAGGGGAGTGTGGAGGGGTTGGTGGATACACCAGCACAATTGCAAATGAGCTGATTTGACTAGCTTTCTCAACACCCCTCATACCCACCCTCCTCAAACACGACTCCAGAAGCTCCTGAACCATAAACCCCGAACGTGACCTGCCTCCCATCTCCCCTCTTCTACGCCCTCCCTCCCTCCTCTCTTTCGCCATACCCTGTACCCACCTGAGGGGTAGTGGAAGAGCGAGTCGAGTCGACCCCCCCGTGTTTGAGCACCACGTGCCACTGCAGGTCACCCGCTCCTCCCCCACTTATTGCTCCTCCCCATTCCTTCCATGTTCTCCCCACCCACCCAAGCACACCTGAGGGGTAGTGGAAGAGCGAGTCCAGCTGCCCTCCGTGTTTCAGCACCACGTGGCACTGCAGGTCGCCTGATCCTCTCCCCCTTTACTGCTCCCTATCCATTGCATGTGCGCCCCACCACCCAACTACCCACCTGATGGGTAGTGGAAGAGCGAGTCAAGTCTCCCTCCGTGTTTCAGCACCACGTGGCACTGCAGGTCGCCTGATCCTCTCCCCCTTTACTGCTCCCCATCCGTTGCATGTGCGCCCCACCACCCACCCGCCCACCTGAGGGGTAGTGGAAGAGCGAGTCCAGCCGCCCTCCGTGTTTCAGCACCACGTGGCACTGCAGGTCACCCGCTGCCATGTTCGTTGCCGCCAGTGCCTCGCCTCCTACCTCTTCCATACCGACTCATTGTTCCCTCCCCCCTTTGCCCACCCCTACCTGAGGGGTAGTGGAAGAGCGAGTCGAGCCGCCCCCCGTGTTTCAGCACCACATGGCACTGCAAGTCACCCGCTGCCATGTTCGTTGCTGCCAGCGCCTCCCCTCCTCCCTCCTCCCCATCCTCCTTCGCCCCGTCTGGTAGTATGGGAGCCGCTTCTGCAAGTGAATGAGAGGAAAAAAAAGGAAATATAATATAATCTTCCCAGAAATGTGTCTTCGAATCAACTTTCTGTTGTGTGATGCAATCATATGCATTCACGTCTGTCTGCCTCCCATCATGTGTTCGTGCGTTGCATGCGTGGTGTGAGCGTATGCAAGAATTTGTGTTTTGTGCGGTTTGGTTTTTCTGAGTGTGTGTGAATGTTATTTGGCTTGAGCAGATATCTGAAGTGACTCCTCTGCTCAAGAGCTTTCCGACGAACCAAGTATCGCTTCAATCGGAGCACGAACAAGAAAGTTACGAACGTTGGAAGTTCGTATGCTTTTGATATTTGGTTGTGGTGACTATGGGAAGTTGTGGTGTTGACTCCATAAGGAGTACAGACTCTTGGGGGTTGGGAAATTCGTCAACATCACTGTAGATGCTGCCAAGTGGTTGGGAGGTGCCAAACCAGGTTGGCAAGTGTGGCCAAGTTGGGTGAGGTGGATGGCATGAGTTGGGAAAGTGACAAATGTCAAAGTTGGGGTGCCTATAGAGAGGGGAATTGTGTGGTATGGGGTGTCCTTGATTGGGGACTCCCTTGGGACCTTCCTTTTCGTCCTCCTCATCCCCTTCTACCTGGTTCTATTGCTACTCTAACTTTCTTGTGTGAACTTGTGAGATAATTTGTGATTGAGTTACGTTTTCTATGGCAGCATACCCCCTAGTGCGCCGAAGTTCATAACTCGAGTTATACTCCATATTTTGATACTATTCAAATTGGGAAAGATAGCCACGGTCAAGGGCCACAACATACTCGAGTTTGAAAGAATTATAACAGTGGACCTTTCGTCGACGCCGTTTCTTGTGACGACGACTTTTCTGTCCAGAATTGTAGTTGACGATTTTGAGATATTTCAGCCCCTAATCTTCATAGACTCTGTCCTTAGTCTCTAACACCTTCCACCCACTACTCCACCACATAACCAACCACACCACACCATCAACCACCCATGAGTGCCTTCTCTTCTTCCATTGCTGCTGCCACCAGCCTGTCAGCCTCAGCATGTAATAGGCACCTATCCCGAAGCATTCAGGAACCTATCCTGTGCGCCTTTTACCCCCTCCCCACCTTATAGTAATAGGCAAATCACCCACCCATAAGCGCCTTCTCTTTATGCACTGCTGCAGCGACCAGCCTATCAGCCTCAGCAGCAGAGGGCAGCGGGACAGCTATCACCCTTTACCAACCACCTCATCCACCCCTCCCCCCACCCTCCCATCACCCACCCATGAGTGCCTTCTCTTCTTGCACTGCTGCAGCCACCAGTCTGTCCGCAAAGCCACAGCAGCAGAGGACAATGGGACAGCAATCACCCTGTCAACCAACCCAATACCCCTCATTCACCCTCCCACCACCCACCCATGAGTGTCTTCTCTTCTTCCACTGCTGCAGCGACCAGCCTGTCCGCCTCAGCAGCAGAGGGCAGCAACAACGCTCTACCAACCACCCCATTCACACCTCATCCGTCCACTACCCCACCACCCATATAAACCTTCTCTCTCTCCACTGCTGCAGCGACCAGCCTGTCCGCCTCAGCAGCAGAGGGCAGTGCGACAGCAATCACCCTCTACCAACCACCCCATTCACCCCTCCCCCCACCCACTCATAAGAGCCTTGACTTCTTGCACTGCTGCTACCACCAGCCAGTCAGCCTCAGCATCAGCATCAGCAGCAGAGGGCAGTGGGACAGCAATCACACTGTATCAACCACCCCATTCACCCCTCATTCACCCCTCCCGCAACCCACCCATGAGTGCCTTCTCTTCTGCCACTGCTGCAGCGACCAGCCTGTCTGCATCAGCAGCAGAAGGCAGCAGGACAGAAAGCACATCGCCGTCCCACCCCTCGCCTTCCACCTGGCAGGGAGGGGGGGTGGAACAGTTAAGAATACAGGAGGATTGGCTTTCGCTTGAGAAGCTTTTTTTGGGCTATTGAGGGTCTTGAGAAAGCACAAGAATCTCATGCCCAGCCTGAGCAGCGGAGGGCCGAGGGTCAGAAAGAAAACATATCGCGCTGACCCACAATCCGCATGAATGTGTTCGTTTTGCGTTATTTACTAAATTCCTAGTGCCTGACAAAAACCAAAACTGGGGAGAAAGTTCGTTCATCAAGTCAAGTCAACCAACGTAGGCACCAGAGAGAGCGGGTGGAACAGTTTGGAATACGGAGGAAACGAAACCAGTGAGGAGCCAGTAACAAACAGGCTGACTCACATAGGCCCCATCTCCCAGCAGCACCCGTGCCACCAGCTTCCGGCGGGGCCGCTTCCAGGAGCCTTCCTCCTTTGCCACCTTGACTTCCACCACCGGCAGCCCGCCCTCCCCCGTGCCACGTGTCGCCTCGTAAGTGGTCAGCAGGTAATCCCCCGCCCTGTACCTGAACCCGTCCCCCTCGTCCTCGAACAACTGGCCCTTGCTGGCACCTGAGGGAGTGGGACAAGGGGAAAGAAGCAAGGGAATTGGCTGGTTCAGTCAGAAGGCAGATACTCTCCTGCCCTGCACCCGAACCCGTCCCCCTCGTCCTCGAACAACTGGCCCTCACTGGCACCTGAGGGAGTGAGAAAGTGGGAAATGACCCAGAGAGCAGAGGCTTGTGAAAGCAGCGAAAGAGCATCATTGGTGGTGCGTCGGAGAGTCAAAGGGGGGTATTCCCCTCCCTGCCCTGTAACCGAACCCATCTCCCTCGTCCTCGAACAACTGACCCCTCACTGGCTCCTTGAGGAGCTTGAAGGCGCCTCAGAGAAAGGAGCATCGCTTTTTGAGGCGCCTCAGAAAATGAGGAGCTTGAAAATGGAATGGAAGGAGCATCGCTGGTGGTGACTTTTGAATCGATTCTCAATGAGAGTATTAAAGAACTAGCTGATCGTCTCTCCTGCATTTTGGATCACGTGTCCTCACCTGATTCGTCGAGGCTGATTAACAGAGTCACCGGATCTTCCCTACTGAGCTCCTGAGTGTTCTGAGCGACAGGCCCTGTCGGCAAGATGGCGCCTCCTTGCAAGAAGAGCAGCGGGAGGTCCTGAGAGATTTGATGCGGTGTGGAGTGGTGTGGGGTCAGGGAAGTGAGGGATGATTAGCAGTGTGCCCGCATCTTCCCTCCTGAGCTCCTGAGTGTACTGAGCAATGGGCCCTGTGGGAATTATGGCGCCTCCTTTCAGAAAGAGAAGTGGTAGGTCCTGTGGGAGTTGTTGCGGTGCAGAGTGGTGTGGAGGCAAGGAAGCGAGCGAGGGACAGATGATTAGCAGTGTGACTGGATCTGCCCTCCTGAGTGTTCTGAGCAACGGGCCCCGTGGGAAATATGGCGCCTCCTTGCAAGAAGAGCAGCGCGAGGTCCTGAGGGATTTGTTGCGGTGCAGAGTGGTGTGGGAATACAGAAAGCAGAGATAATTAGCAAAGACATCTTTCTACTATTTACACTTCATGAAATAATTTTATTAAATACTACAATACCAAAAAAAAAAAAAAAAAAAAAAAAACACACACACACACACACACACACATTGAGACATTTTTGGTGAAAAGCAGCTCCTTTTGGCAGCGATCTGTGACTGGAGGTTGGTTGGCCTACCCGGTCAGAATCGTGGAAGTGGAGGCGCCTCCACGTGCCAGGTGGCAGCCTCTGATTGGCTGCTGATGGGTCGGCGAACTTGCTGCGCTCCGTGCTGAGAGGGCGAGGAACAAGGGGGGGAAGGGGTGGGTGAAGGGAGTGTGTGAGTGTGTGAGTGAGTGGGTGGGTCGGTGAGTGAGCGAGTGAGTGAGTGAGTGAGTGAGTGGGTGGGTGAGCGAGTGAGAAAGTGAGGTGTGCAGATGTGTGAATGGGCCCAAGTGATGGTGTAAGTGGTGTGTGGGCGCAGAGATGTGGTGAAATGGTGAGAGGGAGAGTTGGAGACGGCAAAACGACGACGTAGTTGGGCAAGCTTTGTGTGTTGGTTGCTGTATTGTGTCCGCTTGTGCAGCCCACAGCAAGGTAACGTGATAAAAGAGTGTTTTTGAGACGTCTAAAAAACACTCTTTTATTGCGTGACAAAATGATGACGTAGTTGGGCAAGCTTTGTGTGGAGGTTGGTGTATTGTGTCTGCTTGTGCAGCCCACAGCAGGGGAACGCAACGCAGAGTGGGGTGCGGGAGGGGGGAGGGGGGGTTGGGGGGCCTGTGGAGGCTGGGGAGTACGTCTCACAATGTCATGACGAGCAGAGGGCCCAGCAGGATAGAAAGGGGTTCGAATTGTAGCAAGCCGTGGGACTCTGTAAGAATCTTAGCTAAGTGTGGTGGGTGGGCGGGTTGCTTTGTAGAGCTGGACATGAACCAGGCAAAGAACTTGTATGTCTCACAATGTCATGACAAGCAGAGGGCCCAGCAGGAACTGATCTTCCACTGCCCGCAGCGCTGAATTGGATGGGTCTGATGGGAGGCGCAGAGGGGCACAGGGGTACACAGGGGTACACAGGGGTGCACAAGCATGCAAAAGAGACGTTTTTTTGTGTGATGCCTCAATCAAGAGGAACGGTATCAGGATGAGCAGAGGGCCCAGCAGGAACTAATCTTCCACTGCCCGCAGCACTGGGTTGGATGGGTCTGAAGGGAGGCAAGGGCGCACAAGGGGTTACAGGAAGGCATGCAGTGGAGATGCTATTTCGTGTACAGCCTCAACCAAGACGAACGGTATCTGGAGCCACAGGGCGAGCAGAGGGCCCAGCAGGAACTGATCTTCCACCGCCCGCAGCACTGGGTTGGATGGGTCTGAGCGGGACATGGGGATAAGAGGCAAGTGATTTGAAACCCCAAGGAAAAAAAGAAGAAAAAAGAGACCGAGCAGGAGAAACGGGTGCATGACAGCAGGCGGCAGTATGGGTCATGGATCTTTTTCAAAATTCCAGCCAAACAGACGCACCAGCAAAGGCGAGGGGCGAGATGACAGGGCTGCCGGTTTTGTCATGATGATAGAAGAGCGTGTAGAGATGAGGCAGCAGAAAGTAGCGGCGCTCTATGGCCTTCCGACACACTCCCTCACACTGTTAGGGTTGTGTGGAGCGAGAGAGATGGGAGGGAGGAGAGAAAGGAAGAGGGGAGATGGTGTGAAAGAACCAAGATCTTCACATCACAAATTTAAGCAAGGTTTAATCACGGTTCAACCGAAGTATCCCTTCAAAAAATCAACTCTTTTGTTTCCCAACAAACCCTTTGCTACAATACGATACGATACGATACGATAAGATAAGATAAGATACGATAAGATAAGATAAGATAAGATAAGACGAGACGAGACGAGACGAGACGAGACGAGACGAGACGAGACGAGATACGATACGATACGATACGATACGATACGATGCAAGACAACATAACAAACATAATCCACCACACCCAGTTCCACCATTGCCTTTCCCACTCCTCCTCTCCCGTTCCTCTCACCGCTTCCCCAAACACCCATGGTTCGGCGTCCTTGGTCCCTTTCTCCGAGTGCCCACGGGAGAAGGGCAGCAGCGCCCCGATGCCCATCCACCGCGCAAACAGGCGCGGTGTGGCATTCAGGGCGAACCCGCCGATGTCAGGCCCGTTCAGAGGCTGGCCGCTCAGAGCCTGAGGGGAGACTCGGGAAAGGGAGAAGGGTGGAAGGGGTACACACTGGTGAGAAGGGCAGCAGAGCACCGATGCCCATCCGGCGAGAGAACAACCGAGGAGTGGCGTTCAGGCCGAACCCGCCGATGTCAGGCCCGTTCAGAGGCTGGCCGCTCAGAGCCTGAGGGTAGACTCGGGAAAGGGAGAAGGGTGGAAGGGGTACACACTGGTGAGAAGGGCAGCAGAGCACCGATGCCCATCCGGCGAGAGAACAACCGAGGAGTGGCGTTCAGGCCGAACCCGCCGATGTCAGGCCCGTTCAGAGGCTGGCCGCTCAGAGCCTGAGGGGAGAGAAAAACGGAGGGGGGAAAGGGGGGCAGGAGGAGAGGGGAAGGGAGAAATGGTACATGGTGGTGAGCAGAGCAGTAGAGCTCCAATGCCCATCCACCACGCTAACAGGCGCAGCGTGGCATTCAGAGAAAAGCCACCGATGTCAGGCCCGTTCAGAGGCTGGCCGCTCAGAGCCTGAAGAGGGGGTAAGTGGGGAGTTGGGGCCGAGGGTTACATAGCGGTGAGGGCAGCAGCGCCCCGATGCCCATCCACCGAGCGAACAGCCGCGTGTGGCATTCAAGGCGAACCCGCCGATGTCAGGCCCGTTCAGAGGCTGCCCGCTCAGAGCCTGGAAAGGAAGTAAGTGGGGAGTGGGGAGAGGTGCGTTGTGATGAGAAGGGCAGCAGGGGGGTGAAAAGGAGCACGGGGGTGAGAGGGAGCAGGGGGGGTGAGAAGGAGCAGGGGAATGAGAAGGAGCAGGGGGGCGAGAAAGAGCAGGGGGATGAGCAGCCTCAAGAGGGTGAGCAGCTGCAAGATGATCGGCAACTTGGCAAGAAGTACCAGGCTGGGAAGAAGAAAGACAAGAAACAACAAGGTAAGAAACAGCGGGAGAAGAAGCTGCAGTAACCGCAAGAGGAAAAGCCAGATGGTGAGGATGTCTTTCAAATCAAATTCCTGTTATTGCTGTTTTTATTTGTTGCAACTTATGTTGTCTGAGTTTTCAACAGCCATGCTTATTGGTTATTGATAAAAGGCCATTACCGGTGCAATTTTCCCTCACCTGGCACGTTGACTGTGATTTTCTTGACCATTTGTTGTAATTTTACTACCACTCGATCCTTATGGCTTACTTGCTCACACTCAACCCTTTGCCTTACTGTCCCCCACCATTGCTTCCACTGTTAGAGATCACGTCATTGAAAGCGAACCCCGAACCAGAAAATAGTTTTCTTTTCTCGTTTCAGCATACCAACGGGGAGTGTAAGATATCACACTTCAAGGAGGACCCGTCGAAGGTGGAACGTCACAGATTGGAGCAACATGTGTACACGATACCTGACACGAGTATCCCCATGCCGAACAAGGTCAGCAGGCTGTTAGAGGCGGAGATTTACTGCCTATCATCAAGACCAGGTGGAGTTTTTGAGCTTTCTTAAATAAATAAATAAAATTCGGTGAGTACAACACCAAGAGAGATGGTGGTCAGTCTTGTGAGTTTTTCCACGTCATTTTCAAGCCTCATGAGTTCCCGCTTGCATATGCTTTCTTGACTAAAGAGGAGATTGAACTAGGTGGGAAGCTAACAAGGGAGGGGATCACTATGGTTAGATGCAGAATGTGGAAGCAGAAAGTATATGAGGAGCATTTGGGTTCTGTCGAATATATTCCCTAGTCTGTTACGAACAATGTGTGTGCTGCTGTGTTTGGTGATGTTCTAAACTGTGTTCGGTGGAACAACTCGTGACAATGCTTCAAATTCTTTTTGGCCATTGACATCACCAAACACAGCAGCACACACATTGTTCGTAACAGACTAGGGAATATATTCGACAGAACCCAAATGCTCCTCGTATACTTTCTGCTTCCACATTCTGCATCTAACCATAGTGATCCCCTCCCTTGTTAGCTTCCCACCTAGTTCAATCTCCTCTTTAGTCAAGAAAGCATATGCAAGCGGGAACTCATGAGGCTTGAAAATGACGTGGAAAAACTCACAAGACCGACCACCGTCTCTCTTGGTGTTGTACTCACCGAATTTTATTTATTTATTTGTTTAATAAATCTTAAAAACTCCACCTGGTCTTTAAGCCGAGCAGTAAATCTCCGCCTCTGACAGCCTGCTGACCTTGTTCGGCACGGTGATATTCGTGTCAGGTATCGTGTACACACGTTGCTCCAATCCGTGATGTTCCACCTTCGACGGGTCCTCCTTGGAGTGCCATATCCTACACTCCCCATCGGTATGCTGAAACGAGAAAAGAAAACTATTTTCTGGTTCCAGGTTCGCTTTCGATGATGTGATCCCTAACAGTGGAAGTAATGGGCGCTTCCCACGCTCCTGCTGCTTCCCAAGGTCCTGCTTCTTCCCACGCTCCTGCTGCTCACCAGGCTGTTAACACACGCACATACGTCGTGCGTCTGTGCCCTCCTTGCCCCTACACCATACCACACCACACCGTACCATACTGTACCACACCACATCCCATGTTAAGCGACATGGGCACGCTCATGTGCAATTACTCCTAGGTGGCCAGGTTGTCCCCAGTCCACGACGCAACATAGCGCTGGCTGCCAATGAACCCCGATGCCACGTACCCAACCATACGACACCGCACCACACCATACCTCACCACACCGTGCCGTACCATGTTGAGAGCCATGGGTACGCTCATATGCAGGTACTCCCAGGTGGCCAGGTTGTCCCCCGTCCACGAGGCAGCATAGCGCTGGCTGCCAATGAACCCCGCCCGCGTCAGCACAAACGGGCGCTTGTCGGGAAGGGCCTTCTCAAGACCCTCACTGGTCGCTCGAGCCATGAGCATGCCGTATACCTGTGAGGGAGACGGGAAGAAACGGGTACAGAGAGAGAGGGTAGGAAAATGCCAACTCCACCACATGGGAGGGCGGGAAGAGGTCATTCCCCTCTTCAGGCAAGTCACAAAAAAACGAGCTCACAACGAGATGGCACAGTACAATACACTTTCGCAATGCCATAGATTGGTAACATGGTAACTCACATTGTGGTAGTGCAGGTGGTTCTGAGTACCACCCATATCGTCATCCCCCCTGTGAATGTTGTCGTCTGGCATAGTCTTGTTGACCGCCTGGCAAGAGAAGAGAAGGAGACGAATGGAGGCACATAGGCACACAGAGACACAGAAAGACCCAGACACAGACTCAGATAGACATACAGACAGGAATGCAGTGGCTCACTTCGACTCATGTCCCTCCCATCAACTCACTCACATAAAACACAATGGGCAGGCTTGATGTATGGACTCACTCACCAAATTCCCTGAATGGTTCAGGTCGTGGCCTGGCCCCTCCGCCTACCCCCTCTCCCATCAACCCACTCACCCAAAACACAGTGGGAGGGCTTGATTTCGATCCAGATGCTATCCACCCCCTCACCCTGCTTTCACCTCTGCGAATTCTCAGACGTTTCTTCTCATGTCTCACTCACTCTGAACACAGTAGGTTCGTTCATGTCGTTCCAGATGCCATCCACCCCCTCCTTTGCAAACTCCGCCACCATGTCTCGCCACCACTCCCTCGTTTGCTGCATCATGTGTACCTCCCCGATTAATTCTCCAAATGCCCCATAATTCCTCTCCCAACCACTCACCCGGAACACAGTTGGTTCATTCATGTCGTTCCAGATGCCATCCACCCCCTCCTTTGCAAACTCCGCCACCATGTCTCGCCACCACTCCCTCGTTTGCTGCATCATGTGTACCTCCCCGATTAATTCTCCAAATGCCCCATAATTCCTCTCCCAACCACTCACCCGGAACACAGTTGGTTCATTCATGTCGTTCCAGATGCCATCCACCCCCTCCTTTGCAAACTCCGCCACCATGTCTCGCCACCACTCCCTCGTTTGCTGCATCATGTGTACCTCCCCGATTAATTCTCCAAATGCCCCATAATTCCTCTCCCAACCACTCACCCGGAACACAGTTGGTTCATTCATGTCGTTCCAGATCCCATCCACCCCCTCCTTTGCAAAATCTGCCACCATGGCCCGCCACCACTCTCTCGCTCGCTGCATCGTGTAGTCGGGGAACTTGCAGGGGCCCGGCCACACGTCGCCTGGAAGTGGGGAAAGAGGATAGCAAGCGGTTGTGAGAATTATTGTCCATGTCTCAATGTCTTGCCACCACTCTCCCTCGCTCGCGGCATCGTGTAGTCGGGGAACTTGCAGGGGCCCGGCCACACATCACCTGGGTGTGCAGCGCAGTGTCGCATCGGAGGGATGATGAGGGATAGAAAGTGGTTTTGAGCATTCCTCCCTTGCCCCTGTCTTAATGTCTCGCCACCACTCCCTCGCTCGCTCGCTGCATGGTGTAGTCGGGGAACTTGCAGGGGCCCGGCCACGCGTCACCTGGGGGAGAGAGGGGAAGAAGGCGAGGGGAAAGGCAAGCCAGCACAACGAGTTAGCTGGTTGCTAAGTCACCACTCTCTGGGAGCAAAGTGCCCCAGGAGAACGAGGAAGAAGGCAAGCACACTCACCCATCCATAGTCAAGCACACTCCCCTACAGTAACACTCACTCACACAGTCACACTCACCCACAAACGGCTTGCCCTGTGCATCGAGGATCCACACAACAGCCGCATCACCGGACTCCACCGGACCGTAACCATCCTTGATCCCCGGGTCGAGCATCCATATGGCCTTAAAGCCCACCTTGTTCAAGAGCCGCGCAAACTGGTGAGTGCGCACTAGCCTAAGCACACTTACCCATGCACACATGTGTACAAACAAGCACACACACTCACATGCACACACACACACACATGTACAAATAGCCACACTCACCCACGAATGGTTTTCCCTCCGCGTTAAGAATCCACACATCAGCCGCATCACCGGACTCCACCGGACCGTACCCCTGCTCCTCCTTGATCCCCGGGTCCAGCATCCAAATCGCCTTAAAGCCCGCCTCATTCAGAAACCGCGCCAGCCCAAGCGGGTCGGGGTAGGTAACTGGATCAAAACTGAAGCTCCTGTAGCCGTCCATGTAGTCTATGTCCATCCACATCACGTCACACGGGATTTTCTTCTCCCTGAAGGTTTTGGCGACCTATGAGGAAAAGGGGAGGGCACGCACACAGGCAAAGAGTCGCATGAGGGGAGGGCCGGGCACGGTGACTGGATCAAAGGTGCAGCTCTTGCAGCCGTCCATGTAGTCTATGTCCATCCACATCACGTCACACGGGATTTTCTTCTCCCTGAAGGTTTTGGCGACCTATGAGGAAAAGGGGAGGGCACGCACACAGGCAAAGAGTCGCATGAGGGGAGGGCCGGGCACGGTGACTGGATCAAAGGTGCAGCTCTTGCAGCCGTCCATGTAGTCTATGTCCATCCACATCACGTCACACGGGATTTTCTTCTCCCTGAAGGTTTTGGCGACCTATGAGGAAAAGGGGAGGGCACGCACACAGGCAAAGAGTCGCATGAGGGGAGGGCCGGGCACGGTGACTGGATCAAAGGTGCAGCTCTTGCAGCCGTCCATGTAGTCTATGTCCATCCACATCACGTCACACGGGATTTTCTTCTCCCTAAAGGTTTTGGCGACCTATGAGGAAAAGGGGAGGGCACGCACACAGGCAAAGAGTCGCATGAGGGGAGGGCCGGGCACGGTGACTGGATCAAAGGTGCAGCTCTTGCAGCCGTCCATGTAGTCTATGTCCATCCACATGACATCGCACGGGATCTTCTTCTCCCTGAATGTTCCGTCACAAAGGGGATCGAGTGTGGTGGGATCAGAAAGGACAGGTCTTGTACTAACAGCCATCCATGCAGTCTATGTCTATCCAGATAAGATCACACGGAGGACAGGCACATGGCCAAAGAGTGGGGGCGAAGTAGTCAAGTCAGACGTGACAATCTATTCATGTATCCAGGCCATGCCATGCCATGCCATGCCATGCCATGCATTGCAATTCAATGCAGCAATGCAGTGTGGCGAAGCGCAGTGTAGGGTGGAGCAGTGCGGTGGAGTGCAGTGCAGTGCAGTGCGGTGCAGTACAATCATCCACATCACATCGCACACGGAATCATAATCCCCAATTCTGGCCATCTAAGGAGGACGGTGTCCATTCCATTATCCATACCATATCCATCCATATGTATTTTTTCACACCTTTCTCACCGCCCTTCACCACTTTTCACACTCCTCATCACTCCTAACCTCTCGCTCCTCGCCTCTTCAACCCTGGCAGCAGACTCGTAGCTGAAGCGGCACTGCTGGTAACCCAAGACAACCTACTCTGACCGCTTCTAACCGCTCCTCACCTCTTCCACCCTGGCAGCAGACTCGTAGCTGAAGCGGCACTGCTGGTAACCCAGCACCCAGCGCGCAGGGAGAGGGAGAGGCCCTGTTCGGAGATGCGGCAGGAGTCAAAGGGGGAAACGGAGAGAGAGGAGCACATGTGAGTCAGCTCGATCAGTGATTGTCGTGACTCTACTGATAGCCCAGCACCCAGCGCGCAGGGAGAGGAAGAGGCCCTGTGGAGAGACGCGGCAGGAGTCAAAGAGGAAGCAGAGAGAGAAGCACATGTGAGACCTCGCACCTACCCTACAGCACAGCCACTCACTCATTCACCGATGGCTTTGGCCAGGAGGGGCAGGAGGTGTGAGGGAGAGGCGGTGGGATGAGAGGGAAGGAAGCAGTCAGATGCTGGAACACAGGAAATAGGACCCTACCCCATCCATTCCCACACCTTTACCTCGAGCCCACAGCCCAGCCCCTCATCCATTCACTCACCGATGGCCTTGGCCAGGAGTTGCAGGAGGTGTGAAGGAGAGGCGGATGGGCCGAAGAGGATGAGGGGGAAGGGAGCAGATGCAGTGAAGCTGAGGGTGGGCGCGGCTCTTAGGTCCACCTGCAGGAGAAAGAGGCGTGGCGTGGTGGAGAGAGCCGTGAGAGACGGAGGGAACAGTGAGGGGTAAAGAGCGCGAGGGATGATAGGAGACATGTGGGGTCCGAAAGTGGATGAGGGGGCAGGGAGCAGATGCAGTGAAGCTGAGGGTGGGCGCGGCTCTTAGGTCCACCTGCAAGGGGGGGAGGCGTGGTGGAGGAGGGACCGATCGAGGGGTGGAGGGAGAGGGGTTGGGAGAAGCGAGGGGCCGAAATGGATGAGGGGGAGGGGAGCAGACGCAGTGAAGCTGAGGGTGGGTGTGGCACTTAGGCCCACCTGCAAGGGGGGAAGAAAAATTAGCAAAGGAGAGGAGTCGTCCACATTCCTGTGTCACTTCTGAGAATTTTCAGGAGTGTCATACGCTGAACCAACCCACCCAACTCAATATCAGGCGAACCCATCCCAATCTACACCCAACACTAGAGCACGCAGGTATAGACAATCTCTAACAGGTAGAACCGAGTGGAATTAACCAGAAACGAATCAGCAAAAAACGAATCAACCAGAGGGCCATCAACCACAGAGGTATCAATTCTCATCAAACTCTTATCCATGCTTCACTTCCGTTCCGCCCATCACCGCTGTCTGCATCGATTTTAAGTCGACTAGAGAAAGCCATCAGCCTCTAAGGCATCAACTCCCATCGTATCCGAATCCACGCGGCACACCTCAATTCAGTTTCTCCCTATCCACCCCTATCCACTGATCTGGTCCCCCCACCTGGGACATGCTATCCTTGTCCAGAAGCATCTCACCCATCAGTTTGCTCCTCACCTCGCAGCGCCGGGTGGTGTCGGCCAGGAAGCCGAGTCAGCGGCCATCCGGCAGCAGGGAGAAGACCCAGGGATGCGACATGTAGAGCGAGGGCGTGCTGCCTGCCTTCTTCCACCCTATCACATGAACTGAACCACGACTTGATCCACCTATCAGCCTGCGCACCTCACAGCGCCGGGTGGTGTCGGCTAGGAAGCCGAGGCAGCGGCCGTCAGGCAGCAGAGAGAAGACCCAGGGATGGGACATGTAGAGCGACGGCGTGCTGCCGTTGAAGCCCCAGCAGTCCGTGTTCCACGTGAAGATCTGGTGGTGGGGCCGAGTGGGAAGGGGTGTGCGGTGGGGTACTCTTGAGAAATGACTAGAGCTGACTCAATAGTCTGAAATTGAAGCCCCAGCAGTCCGTGTTCCACGTGAATATCTGCAGACGGAAGGCGGAGAATGGGTGGTATGGTAACCTTGACTTGAGTTGACTTAATAGACTGTTGTTGAAGCCGCATCAGTCTGTGTTACAGGAAAATGTCTGGTTGCGGGGAGCGGGTGTGTGCATGCGGGGTAACCTTGACTAGAGTTGACTCATTCAACTGCATGGGATCTCCTGTCAGCATAAAGAGTTGGGAACGAAGCTGAAAAGAGCATTCCGCAAGTAGCGAGAGAGCGAGCACATACAACAGCAGCAGTTGAAGCAGCGACAGCGGCAGCAGCAGGAGCAGCAGCAGCAGCAGCAGCAGCAGACGCAGACGCAGCGCCATCACATCACCAGCACCAGCACCAAGCTATGTGGCAAAAGACGCACGCGTCCTGCTGCGTCCTGCGTCTGGACGCAGAGATGCAGGACGCACGTCCAGACGCAGGACGCACCCTGTTTTTTTTTTTCGGTCTGACTCTGGAAAAAAAAAATCCCAATACGCGAAATTGACATTCACGAATTCGACGCGAATGTCGATTTCGCGAAAAAACGACCCCCCAAAAGCAACTCGACATTGAAAACAGCACACCCCCCCCAACTTCAAACCCCTCTACACAAATTTGTAAAGCCCAAACGCCTTGAGGTTTTATTGTTGGGGAAAATTTTGCATTGAATGTGTGCAAAGGTCCCCCCCCCCCCCCCCCCCCCCCCTTCCCAAGCCCTATAACTTTTTTTACAGCTGCCCAGGGTTTTTTTTTGCCCTGCCCGGGCATGCGTCTTTTCATGCGTCCTCAAGGCCCTCATCTAGCGTCCTGCGTCTAAGACGCTGCGTCTGGATGCAAGCGTCCTAGACGCAGGACGCGTCTTTTGCCACATAGGCACCAAGCAGCCGCAGCAGCATCACCAGCACCCCACGTACCCGTTTCTTGCTCCTCTCAAGAGGCCCTCCGACCTCCCCTGTTCCATAGAAAGATGACCCCTCCGGTAGCTGGCAGGGAGGGATGATGAGTCATAGAATGGATGAGAAATGAAATCAGGACGCGAGGTAGTCATTGTGAATAAGGAGCCTCTACAACAGTTTCCAGAGAGGGTTGATATATCCAGAAGGAAGGAAAGGCACTGTGAGGCAAATCTGAATCAGCTGGCAGGGAGGGAGGGGGATGATGGCTCCAGGAGGAAAGGCAGGCACACAGCGAGGAGGAACACACGCATGCAGACCTGAATGATTCAGAACAGATGGAACGGACATGAATTCGGTATTTCTATTTAAACGGTAGAATTCACGAACCTGGATGGTAACCACTTGCTGGTCGTTTCGCGAGCTGAATTCCACAGAAGCAGCAACTCCTGCAAGGACGTCCTCGATTGAGGGCTCCTCGTTTCCCGAACCACCCCCTCCTAGTCGCTGCTCCCTGGCTGGTGGGTCTGCGAATGAGAGAGACGGAAAGGCCGCCTTCCGAGAAGCTTCGTCCGCGTCCAGGCGAATGATCCCCTCAGCTACTATGGGGGTCACGACTATTTTATCGCTGCTGCTGGTGTTATCCGTGGAATCCGGCGGAACAGCGGAATTCAACGATCCTGTCATTTTCGCGGATTGTGCGCTTTCGCTAGTAACTGCTTCTGACTTATTCGCAGAAGAAGAACAAGAATCTGCACCCGAACCACCGGCTCGGGGGTACCAAATCCCTTTCCTCCGGCCCCGTCTTTCCCGCGCGTGGGCCTGTCTGCTGGCGCAACGAAATGCGCCAATCGAAGTCCCGGGCAGTGGCTGGAGAAGGGGAGGTGAGAAGGCAGCAGCGATCATGGCAGCACATGCCAAATGATGCAGGAGAACAACACAGCGCATGAAATTGATAAAAATATGTTTTGTTTAGAAAAGCATGTCGATGTAGTATAATGGTCAGTATCTCCGCCTGTCACGCGGAAGATCCGGGTTCGATCCCCGGCATCGGCGTGTTTTTCAGTAGTCGGGCTCTGTCCATTTTTAGATTTCACTGCTTATCGCCGTGGTTCACCGCACTAGGCCGTGGTTTTCTGTGAGCAATCTCAACTCACCGCACTGCGCCACATTCAGCAATTTCACTGTCAACCAAACATTCCCTTCATGTCCAACCTGGACAGCTGAGGTCGATCACTCACTTGCCATGGCTTGGCGTTCGCCAATTCATCTGTCGTTCTTTGTTGCTCCCAGTTTCTAGGTGCTTCGTGAGTTGCAGAAGCCTCAATGTAGTGTAATTTGAAGTCAGTCTAGGAGCCTGGTTCGGATATGGGGTTTGATGACGCTTTTCAGGTGATAGGGTTTGTGGGAGGCTGCATGTTTCCGCTGTCCACAGCGGCTCAGACGTACAAGGTTCTTAGGACCAAATCAGCCACCGATATCAGCTACGCCTGGTGAGCTCGCGGATGCGATGATTGACGCGTTCTTGTCGAAATCCCCGGTACCATTTCGATTGTGTTTGGCTTGTGAGCATGCTGTCATCACGAATTTTTATTTCTTGTCTTCTTTTTTGGCAAAAAGGATTCCTGGTAATTACTATTGTCTGCCGCTTGCCATTCGAAGGTATTGGTCCGCACGCGTGCGCAACATGATATCGTCATCTTTGACATATCATATCATCTGATATTCCGAGCTCTATGGCTACGATTTTCTGTGCTCAAGTCGGTCCTCGTCCTCCGTTCTCCTTGCCTATGTTTCCCTGTTCTGAATCCACCATGCGCAGGCAATTCATTTTTGCCCTCGCGCATCTTCTCTACCTCGTTTATTCCATTCATTTCGGCTTATGGGTCATTTACATCCCTCAATCCGTGGAGATTGCGCTCTTAATATTCATGATTGCTGCCAAAGTGTATTTTGACAATTTCGGGCCCAGGAGCAAGCTCACACGTGCCACCGCGAAGAGTGCGTCCACCACAGGTGAGACCACCATGTCTTGCGTTTCTTAGGATATCACCTTTGTGCCCGTTTGTGCACAACCATGATAGTTTATATTCTGGCGGACGTTCACCTGATATGTAACTTGCATACTCCACCCCCCCACCTTTCATCACTCCCCGCCCTTTACCCCATGCCATAAGTACCAGCCCCACCCTTCCCTCCTTCCCTCCCTCTCTCTACCCTGCTGCTCTTCTCATCATTCCCTTCCCCACACCCCCTTCACCCTCCCCTCCCCCTCCACCACTTTCCCCCTTCCCCCCCTCCCCCTCCCTCTGCAATTCATCCATCATGCTTGTTCTTGGCAGCCATGCTTAGTGTCGGACAAGTACCGGATGACAATTGATCCTTGCTTTGTACAAATTCCGCACCACATTCTTTGTGGGTCTAAAACTTCTGGACCCTCTATACGTATTGGAGTAAATTTCAAGGTGAATTACAATAAATTGGTATCGCTCAATTTTGAACTAGGGTAATGTTCTTCTGTCACACATCAATGAAAAGCAGGTTTTCACAGGTTTTGCTCAACCAGTGTATAGTAGGCGTTTATGACTGGGTGTAGCACTGACAAGACGCACATTGCAGCCTGACGCGGTGGTCATGATGCTGACGCGACATAAGAATTTCCGTAAGAGTTGTTGGGCTTCGCGAAGGTCGCCGACGTGGCGAAACTTCTCCACTACAGCATCGCTGGTTGCACGAAACGGAGATCTGCCCGCCACGAAGAAGTTGTTCCAGAAAGTGACCGTTCAACCCTTCTCCCATCCAACCAAACCCAAGTTCGGATATATCCAAACCCAAGTTCGGATATATCCACTCAGGGAATCAAGGATGCTTTGAAACGTTCAGTGCTTCCACAATACCATTTCCACTTGGTATAGCTCCAGGCACTTTTGCTAGGGTTTGTCATCGTCCTCTTCCTCCAGATTCAGTAGCCCACACACCACCCTTCAGCTTCCAAGGCGCATCATCCATCCTTCGTTCATGTCCGATCTAGAACTCGAGGTTCCTGGGGCCTTCGGTACGTCGTAGGTCGTTGTTGTCGTTCGGCTTAGCTTCAGTTTATTTATATTCTGGTGTAGACACTGTCTGACCGTTCCTGAACTTGCTTGCAGACCCGTTTGCTGACGCGAATGCTGCTGATGATCCTGGAGCCGGAACTAAGGATTACGTCCATATCCGTATCCAGCAACGGAATGGTCGTAAGAGCCTGACAACTGTTCAAGGCCTGAACAAAGAATTCAATTACAACAAGATATTGAAGGATTTTAAGAAGGTAAGCCTTCGTTGTTTGAAGATTGTGGTTGGGTGGTTATAAGTGGATGGCTAAGCTGATAGGTTCTCTTTTCTCTCTCTCTTTCTTTCAGGAGTTTTGCTGCAACGGAACCGTCGTTCAAGACATCGAACTTGGTCAGGTTGGTATTTAGCCCGTCCTCACGATTCCATTGGATCCTTTTTCTGTTCGCTAACCTTTTCGCTCTTGTTATTACAGGTCATTCAGCTTCAGGGAGACCAGCGGAAGAACGTTTCGGCGTTCCTCATTCAGGCTGGTATTGCGAAGAAGGACCTCATCAAGATGCATGGTTTCTAAGCGTTCATGATGAGATGAGGGGCGTGCATGTTCCCTTGCAGATGGGCCTACCAGCTCTTAGGGGTAGGATGTGTCGGCAAGGGAAGGGTTTGCTGGCTAGAATAGACATGAGATGGAGATGCAGTGCGGATTGGGAAGATTGACCATATACAACCTTCTGTATCGATTAGATATCCCTATCAAAGGTTCTTGAATGTTGGAGATAGAATTCTAAACAAATTAACACATCGTTTTGTCTCTGCAGAACTGGTAGTGCTGTGCAGATGAGAGATTCAGGAAACCTTAACATTCTGGGGTTAAAATTTCTAGCGGACGGATACAGAAGCTTTTGGTCAACGATGCAGCTCACACTTGATCCCTGACCAGAAGTTGGGGTTGGATGACCAGGAGTGGGGCTCCTAATAAACTGACCTGACTTCTGACCAGAGCGCGGATTGTACAGTACCCTCAGGTGAAGGAGAGAGCTCCAGATGACACTCAGAGTAACCCACATCTCACATATTATGGTTACACAACATTTGTACATAAATTGCAGCATAAGTGCTACACTACCTATGAAGTGGCTTATACAAGACAAGAGTGACATACTTAGAGCGAAACCGATGCGTCAGCCCAAGAGCAAGCACCGACCTTGCTGCTTTGCCTTTCTCCACATACAGGTGGTTCAGAATGACATGCTGCGGCCGAGGCAATGTCGTGGGAGCGTCACCAGCAACAGGAACATTCAGCAGGGTGAGCTGGAGGTGAGGAGGAAGCAGAGGAGGCTCTTTGGCAAAGTCTTCAGGAACAGGGAAAGGGTCATTGTAGCTAGAGACAGGAGACCGAGGCGGCTCAAATCCCGCTACATTGTCAAGGTTCTCTGGCACATACTCCTGCACAGTGATTGCAGGGCACCCACACAAGTCAGCAAGAGAAACTGCACCACAAGCATAATGTGACTTGGTCCAGTAATAACATACCTGCACTTCCAGAACGTTGTTCACATTTCCCATTTCATCGTACACTGCTGGAAGGTCAGGAGCATACCGCCACACATCGTCCACAATGAACTTGTACTGGTACACCCCAGGAGGCAGCATCTTCACAATTGTGAAATCCTTGCCGGCACGTTGCAAAACTTGCCTGAAGAAGAAATCGAAAGGAGCTTGCAAAACAAGCGTTAACAATGTGAAGTTTTATTCTCTCTGCTATTCTGATAGTTACCATTCCGGCATGTCATATGCAACGATTGAACTGATGAGCCTATTGGAACTACAGCCATATTTACACTCGAAGCCTCCAGATTCCACCAGAGTGAACAGCTTGAATAACAAGGACATACCTTGTCGTCCAGTTGTCCCATGAGCCATCCACTGACACATGGTTGCCTCCATGCGTCCATGTGATGAGTGTCGGCACTCCTTGCTCCCCATCCGCCCCAGGTCCACCCGCACCATCACCACCGTATCCACCGAAGCCTGACCCCAGCGATAGCTCGTCCGCCTTGGGGATTGGAGCCATGGGAATCTGCACATTTGGGAACAGAAGCAATCATTGGAAGGTGCCAAAAGATAGCATATCAAAATCCACAGCAGTGCTGATGCATCCAACAAACTTGTTAGTTGAAACGGACTCAGTGCAGCCACGGCATTCGCTGAGTTTCAAGACGAGCCGCGACCTCCCAGCGCGGTGAAGTCTTTGAAACGACACCAGGCTGGCTGTATACTACCTGTGAATTCGATTCTAAAATCCCAGAATTTGACTATGCAGACCTCTGGACTTATTTGCAGAGCAAAAATACACGGGGACCTTGTAGCGCTGTTAGGGTTGTCATGCGGGCGGGTTCTCCATCCAGTCGACATTCTGAAATACCAAGGAAGAAGTAGAATCACCTGTGGAGTGAACATGAGCGGAGACCTCGCAGCGCCGCTAGGGCTGTCAGGCGGGCTGTTCCCCATGGAGTCGTTGGAGTGCGACCGACCAAGTCGCGACGCCAATCGCCGCCCGCTCTCAGGCACCGGCCGCCCTTCCATGCTGCTGCGACCCTTATCGCGGCCTTGCGCGTTCCCCATTGTCGCTCGTT